TATATATATATATATATATATATATATATATATATATATATATATATGAGAAAACCTTGGGGTATTGAGATGGTACTATGAGAATTGAGTATTCTCATATATGATGAATTGTGGTTGAGTTTTAGTTGTCTCACATTAATGAATAGTTGAAATATTTGAGTAAAGTGAAGTGTATAAGAAAGGTGGATTTGTTATATTTGTGTCAAATCATGGAGTTTGCCTAAAAAGGTTGTCTTATATTGGATGACCGTCTTTGAAATCTATACCATGGGTGGAATCAAAACCAACTAAATGGTAAAAATTATAGTGCAAATATAAAAGTAAAACAAAAAATGATGAATTGGCAACATGAGGTTTGAGTGTTCCTCAAATCAGAAATAAGGTTGACTTTCATAATCTCACATTGATAGACAGATGATAGTTTGGAAGAAGATGATGGATGTATAAATGCGAGATAGAGTTTTGAAATCTATAGCCATGGTTGAAATTAAAACTAACCAATTGGTAAAAGATTTATGCAAAACGAATGCAAATGATACATTTTTTTTTCTTAACAAAATTTGTGATTATTGTAGTACTTATAATAACAAATGTAGTCTAATTATCTATTATATCACTTATATATATATATAATGAAAGTGTTAACTTAATGACGTACTCTCATCTTATGTTAGTATTTTCCGAATTATGATTTACGGTGTTGGACGGAGCGTTATAAATATAAACACGATCCCGAGTTTTCAGACACTTGGCACTTCCGCTCGAGTTGAGGATCTTACATTTTTTTCTTAAATTGAGTTCTGATCACCGAGCAAACCAAGAGGTATTGATGTGAAATCATGAGAATTGAGTACTGAGGTGTTGGGGAACTGTGGTTAAGTTTGTAATATCTCATATTGGTGAGAGATTGAAAGATTGGAATAAGGAGCTATGTATAAGTAAGAATGATTAGATTAATCGTGTTAACTCATGAGACTTGATAATAAGATTATCTTACTTGGATGACCCGATTTTTATATCATTTCTTTTATATCAATTGACTTTAAAATAACAATGAAAGGTAATAATATGACTTTATGTATATCTTATATTATAAAGTTGAATTAAAAACTTTAAAATAATATAACGAACAATTTATTGATTGTTTTAGTTTATTATAATTAAAATTTGAATTTATGATAACCTTTTTAAATTAACTAAACGTGATTATATGATTATAAGTAAAATAAAATAAACCTATATGTAAAAAAGTTACATGTTAACGTATTGCCGCAAATTCATGAGAATGTGATATATTTGAAGACGAAGGTAAGTATATGAAAAAAGTAAAAAATGAATTTGAAATCAATCATCAACCAATAACAACATCATTATAATATATTAAAGGAGGAACCAAACAAATAATACAAAATATATAACCATGGTTGAAATCAAAACTAATCAAATTATACAAAATAAGGAAATGAATATTTAAAAAGAAGTTAGATATCTTATAATACTAAGAGACTTTGTGTAATTTTTAGGTTGCCCTTTTTTTGGCCAACCATCTTTTGTAAAAAAATTATATATAAAAAACTAATATAAAAAATAGTATAAAGTTGACGATAAATCAAAATCATAAAATTAGTCGAAGTTATAGTTGTAAAAACAATAGTTATATATCTATAATCTATATTTTTATATCTTTATTTTTATCTATATAAAAGCAATAACCATAGATAATCAGGTGATAACTTCTAAGCAATATAAATCAACTTTTTCCTCGTATTATTATTTGCATCCCATATTGGATCAAAGAAGAAAGAGACACATGAGAGGTGGATACAAAAAAAAAAAAAAAAAGAGCCAACATTTTTCTCAATATTGTTTGTATAATTGCATCCCGCATAGCATGATAGAGTGAAAATGGCAAGAGAAAGACTACTACAAAAAGAATTGATTGAAAATGGGACAAACATATTTTTCTCGGATGTCGACCTTTTGTTCAAGATCAAATGCAGTATATGTTTTTAGTTGAACATATCTATCCCGAATCTTAGGTTTTTATTGTTTAGATCAAGTATATTATATGTTTTTAGTTTGATATCTAATATATGAGTTTTCAACTTGCTTGGTATTTTATTTTGTATATGAGAATACCCATTATAGTACTTGGTGATGTAGTTATTTATCTGTCGTCTTAGTGTTACTACTATCAAGGTTTGATACACCCCTATAATTACAATTTAAATATTATAGAATGTTACGATAAAATGTAGTATTTGTTTTTATCAGTTTAATATCTGATATGTAGGTCATCGACCTTACTTGATATTAATTTTAACTTTTTTATGAGAAAAAATCCATTATCTTAGCTTGGTGATGTGGTTTTTCATGCATTGCGTTGAACTTCCACTACTGTTGCTACAACTTACGCACTTTTCTAATTTTCACTTGAAATATTATAGAACGTTTTTTTTTCATAACTTCAAATGAGATTTCAATTAAATTTGTTACAAAATGAAGATAATGATTTTGTCACCTTATATGAGATTTCGGTTAGAATTGTGACTTCTAATTAAACAAACTACTAACATTAGTCAAACATTTGTAGAGTACTTTGTAACACCATTCTCGAGTATAGTTAGATAACTCAAATTAACATATGGTTCTAATATTGTTGTCAACTTCTCTTAAATTTTTTTAATGTTAATAAGTAGTTGCCAAACACATTTGCTTAATTTTTTTTTAGAAGTGGACTTCAAACTTTAATCTATAACATTTATTTTGAAGATAGTATTATCACTACTAGGCAACATACGGTTAAGACACTAGTATTCAATGAAACAAATGTAACATTATTTTTACATACATTTATATCATCCAAAATTGAAAACGGTATACAAACAAAACCGTAATTTCAAAAAGTAGAAAAAGAAAAAGTAACAATTTAATGATTTATCGTAAAATTCTATAGGATCGGAACTGGTGCCAGGCATCAGGCACGCCTCCTCTGCCAACAGCTCGCCACACCTCCAAATCTCCACAGATTCTTGTTTCTTTGCACCAAAGCACTCCATTGAAGCTCGGTTAAACCTCGTAGGAGCTTCTTCATTCGATCTCCTCCCCATTTTTATTTTGTAGAATTTAACTTCATTTATACGTTACCACACTTCAAATTACAGGAGGTGAGTATACCACGTCGTGAGCGGTGAACGCATCCGCAAGGATTTCCACTTTCCGCGGTGATTTCTTCTTTCCAATCTCATCCTTATTCTAATTGATCATGCCTATTCATGTGTATCACTGATGTTTTATTGATTCTTGTTCGAATTTCATCTCAATTTAGGCTTTTTGATGAAAAACCCTTGCCCGCTTTATTGCAAATATCTCTTGAAAACCCCTCGATTACAAGCCCTTCATCTTGCAAGCATTTGAAGCCGATGTACATGCAGGCATTTCTGATCATTATTAAGGATGCTTCGATTTTCAGTCAGGAAATTGGTCCTTACTGTGTTAAAAAATGAAAAAAAGTAAACTAGAAATAGCTTTAGTTTGACTTTAAATTCAAACTAGATATTCTGCAATCTTCAACACAAAATGGATTCTAAACATCTTAGAAAGAATTGCTATATGCATTAGACTTTGGTGTAAGTAGCTGAATACTAATACTATCCTCGCACCTCTCGTGAAATTTGCTTCCTTTGTCCAGTAAGCATGAGAACAAACCAAACAAAAATCCATTATATCTCACTCGAAAGCGTCTTCTGGGCCGACAGGACATTCAAGATACATGACCAGTAAGCATGATACTATCGGTGATATGTCTTAAAAGGTAGGATATCTTGTAGACCATTATCAAACACGGTTGGGTTCCGGTGAGAAGGGTAAGAAGGGATCTCCACCCTTGGATCAATCCTAATTGAAGATCAACAGTAATGAGAAGCACTAGAAAAATCCTGTGATAAGTGCAATTCATGGGGTAGGGGTGAGATTAAAAGTGATCAAGGGTCCAGATCCCTTCTTACGCCTCTAGCGTTAACTCTTATTCTCACACGATCCTTAGCCTATCAAACAAGTGGTAAATAGGAACTTGTCAAAAATAAAATGGTGCAAACTTTCTATGGACATCTCAAAATAGAAATTGTTGCAACTTCCATGGACTAAGAACGAATTTGAGGTGGTGTCTTGGATGGATTTTTGGTTGGAAAATGTAAGGTTTGACATAAAAGATCAAAATGCATGATCTTCTCGTCATTGTTAATGTGCCTTCAGGAAAAACCAAAATTTGTAAATTTATGACTATATGTATAGTTACAAGTTTGGTGAAAATATTATTCAGGTGAATCGACTTGAGACGATGTCATCTTGTGCATTTTCTACATGTAAGTTGCATGATACCCTGCTAGATCATGAATTCATATGCAATAAACCAAGTTGCTTCCCTAAGCATTTGGTGCATTTGAAGACAAACCGCATATCTGCTAACCTGTCTTGTCTGAAGATATCGCCCTATAACTCGTCGACCTGGCAACAAACTGGAAGGCTCCAATGCAGAGCACTAGATGTTGAAAGTAATCGTACTTTCTTGAAAGGAGATCTGTTTCAACTTGATGATGTAATTGAAGCACAACAGTTTGATAGAGAGATTCTGAGTGCTATATTTGAAGTGGCACGTGAAATGGAAACGATTGAGAAGAAGTCACGTGGAAGCCAGATTTTGAAAGGTTATCTCATGGCTACTCTCTTTTACGAACCTTCAACCAGGACCAGGCTTTCATTTGAATCTGCAATGAAACGGTTGGGTGGGGAAGTCTTGACAACAGAAAATGCACGAGAGTTTTCATCTGCTGCAAAAGGAGAGACACTCGAAGGTAGTTTCAAGTGTTTCTTCAAGTTCTATGATATCCCACCAGTCATCTTGATTTGATACTGTTTTGCAGATACAATAAGGACAGTTGAGGGGTATACAGACATAATTGTAATGAGGCATTTTGAAAGTGGTGCTGCTAGAAGAGCAGCCATGACTGCTAACATTCCTGTTATTAATGCAGGGGATGGACCTGGGCAGCATCCTACTCAGGTATACCCACTTTGTTCTGCTGATTGTTTTTGGCATCCTTCCGTTAGATTTTTTACATTTTGTTTCATGATAATTATATGCCTACATCTTCATGTACTTGAGATTATAAATGATGCTTGTAAATTTAAAATTACTCTAATTTTAGTTACATGACAATCTGCCTCAAGCTCAATGGACGGCTAGGATAATCTCAATCTAGTTAGTTAAATCAGAAACTCATGTTATTGGTATTGTTACAAGTTACTTCAGTTGCATCGCTGAAATCCTTGTGTTGGCAGCCACCTGGTTAATTTCAATATTTGTCTTGACAATGAGTAGAATGGGAAAGTGGACATTTATTTTTGAAAGTGGACACTTATTTTGGGACAAACTAAATAGTAACATTGGTACTTATTTTGGGACAAACTAAAATAGTAACATTGGCACTTATTTTGGGACGGAGGGAGTATATAAAGCCTTATACCAAAGCACTTGGCTGCTGAGTTGTACTAGTGATAAGGAGTTGGGAAGAATCATCCACCTGAGGTGAGGTCTCGGGTTCTAACACGGCACCACCCACCTATCCATGGGACACAGCGATTTTTCTACCCCATGTTGGTTGTGGGACAGGTGCCATGGGGGCGATCTAGAGGGTGGCATATAACACCCCCCTTGATTTAGAAACACATGGAAGGATGGTATTCATGTTTCTCAATTCTAGGATTGGTCCAGCTTCCTACACGTTCTGAAAGATTCTTCATTAGTTATATGAATCTTCTCCCCGTTTGATGAACTACTAGTCATCATGTTCAGACTTTTGCAGCGACTTTTTTCTAGGCTTCGGAATTCACCTTGAGAATGTATTGGAGGTGATTTACTCAAACACCATATTAGCTCAGTGCAACTTTTAAGCGATTTCTGCCTTGATCTTTGGGCACTTTGCATATCTATGCATTTCTTTTCGTTTCATTAGCTATCGTGATCTTTGTGCATTTTGTTTTTGTATTTGGATTACTAAGATCAGTTTCATATTATTGTAAATTTAACAGGCTCTTCTTGATGTGTACACTATCGAGAGAGAGATTGGTCGGTTGGATGGAATCAAAGTTGGACTAGTCGGGGATCTTGCTAATGGACGAACCGTTCGTTCCCTTGCATATCTTCTAGCCAAATATAACGGTGTCAAGATCTACTTTGTTTCTCCTGAGGTTGTAAAAATGAAGGTATGCACTTGATAGATGACAATAGATTTAATATAGGAGAACGTTCTTCACACAAAAGGGTGAGCCTATCTAGTAAGGTCGCTGAAAGATGACCAGCTTGACTTTTTGACCAAAAGATCATGGGTTCGATCTTTTGACCCAAGGTCAATAATGGTTGCAAGAAATGAGTAATCAAAAAACACATGGTATTATGGGATTCAACAATTTGCCTGCATCTGCATGCATTACTAGGATTTATGGAAGGAGGATTGTCCATTTTATAAGAAGAAATCTAGACTAGTATATGCATAAACCAAAAAATCTATCGATTTTCCTAGCTACCTAAAAAGCTAAACCAAACATACTCGGTTATCCAACTCGGAGTAGGGGCTCGCGGTACTGATGCACGCAGACCTTCCCTCTACTCCACAGGTAGTGAGGCTGTTTTCATGGAGGCCCTTACTTTTGAAAAAGATTTGTCTATTATCCTAACTACCCCACAGGCTAAAACAACTGTTTTCTTACAAAGTTTAGGGCGTAACCACCACCTAGCTTGCAGAATGCTCCAAAGACTAGCACAAAAAGACCCTTACAATGTTTTGTAGATACCCGTAATTATGTGCTTATCTATATGTTTGCTTTGTTTGAAATGGGTCCCTAGGATGACATTAAGGAATACTTGACATCAAAGGGAGTCAAATGGGAAGAAAGTGCAAATCTGAAGGAAGTGGCCTCCAAATGCGATGTGGTATATCAAACTCGCATCCAACGTGAACGATTTGGAGAGAGAATCGATCTTTATGACGAAGCCCGTGGCAAGTACATCGTTGATCGCAACATTTTGAGTGCTATGCAGAAGCATGCAGTGGTCATGCATCCTCTCCCAAGGCTTGATGAGGTAACGCCGCTCATAAACTTGTGGTCCTAACTAATTGGAAAAAACCAAACATATCCGGTATATCCCACTTGAAAGTAGGGTCCAGGGTCCTGGTCCTAAACTCATCTCCAACGGACAGCATCACTCCTGCACTATACTTTTCGCACTAATTCGTCTTCAATAAATACATCAATTTTTTTGGCACCATTTTAGTGTTATGAATAGTAAAACACCAAATTTGGTGCAACCCTATTCACCAACATTATTTATTTGTTGAAGTTTTGATATTTACAGAATGGTACTTCAATTTTATGATTAATGTACTTTTACCTTATTTCATCGTCTAATAACATTTTAGCACATTAAAATTATATTTATTTTTAAGTGTTCTTAAATCTAATTCTAATGTATTCAACTGCTTCTTTAAAAAGAATTAATATATGGGTACTAAATTTGTTTTCGATAATTTAATTCGCAATTAATTATGAACTATAATTTGCTTCAAATACTATAATTTATGATTTACTATGAAAATAAGATATACGAGTACAGTTTGTAGAGTTCATAATACTGGGGTAATATTAAAATAGTATAATACGTTGTAGACGATTTACTGTTTGCACCAAAACAAAGTAAAATTTGGTGCTTACATTGGAGATGCCCTTCCATTTATGATCTCGGGGAGGTTCTTGGTCCCGTGCCTTTTGCCCATCATTAATTAGGGTAAATGCAAATAGTGATTTCGGCCTTTTTGATGTTATGTAGATCACATTGGAAGTGGACGGAGATCCAAGAGCTGCATACTTTCGACAAGCGAAAAACGGACTCTTTATTCGAATGGCTCTCTTGAAGCTCTTACTTCTCGGTTGGTAATGATCCAAGCCCCACAAGCTGCGTCATCACTTGTGTCAAAGAAAAACTTCAAAAAAAGCTATTTATTAACACACACACACATCTTATGTGTATATGAACCCTTTGGGATTCTGGTACCAGAAACTCCAAGAATGGTGTTGGTTCAAAAGATGCATGAATCAAATACACCAACACTTTGTTTGCTTGTCATCCCGGTATGGTCGTTAGTTGCATTAATGTGTGCTCGAAGTTGCAAGGCAACATGGTGGTAACGCATTTGCCATGTTGAAGATATTTTAAATGCAGTAGCAAAGTAAGTAATCTTCTATTGCTTCTAGGTTTAAAGGATCCATATTCACAAATGAAGATACAATTAAAACTACTTGTATGCAGGATGCTTTGTTATTTTCAGAGAGGGTCTCCTGTTTGAGTTTGGCCATAAGGATTCTTTTTGACATTCATGTTAACGGACTTATGGGATTAGTCGAGGTGAGGCAAATTAAGAAAATCTGGTATTATTGGTGGTTTTTAAATGAATTGCTTTTCACTTTTTAGCAACTGAGACCCGCTCGATCAATACGAAAATTTTAGGTGCCGGACAGACTAAAACTAGATGGATTGTGTGATAGCCGAACTGTTTTTCTTGCCCTATGATTATCACCCGTAATGTTGAAATCAAAACCGGTTAGAATAGAAAATCTTTATAGAAAGGGCTTCTTCTATACATAAGAATTTCATTGGACCTAGAAATGATACATTTCAAGGAATTTGTTGGGTCTTTCAATATCAATAAGTTGATTGTTTCGCTCTTGTATCTTCTTCAAAAAAGGAATCAATGTGTAGATTCTAGTATTCTTTTTTCACAACAGAGTTCCTTGAACAAATCTTGGGTATCATCCTCGACCCTGAGATATATCATAAGACCAATAAGTTAATTTAAAACCTTGCTATCAAAGTAGTTCATACAGAATCGAACTTTCGATTGATCTGGGTACTTGGGAGCCTATGGATGAAGACATGGTTTCTGCCTGTATCACCAGTTAAGGCACCTAAATGACCTCTCAATGATAAGGGAGGTAGAGGTGTAGAGACAGCGAGACAACTCACATTGGTATTACTCAAACAAGCATGAAACGTAAATTATAGAGTTGAAACAACTCACAACACTTTTTAAAGGATTACGTGATACGATTATATCGAATAAGCCATTTTCGAATAAATACTTAACCGCATGTAAATCATCCGCAATCGCCTGAATCTCGGGTCACTCTTCATACCAATCATAGACACGCTCGAAAATAATATTTCAAAGCTTTTGTATGTATTACCGTTACTTGTGTGGATAGGTGCTATGCTATAGAGTATACAACTTCGGTCATTTTGGCTTTTTTAATCCATATTGTAGGGTGGATCTTGAAATATATGAAAAATCTTCCTCCAAGACATACATACGACTCTCTTGCTTTTCACATAGAGTGGGCCCCAGTGGGGGGCTTGCTATGAGCTTGAAAGTTATCATATATTAAGTTTCCATACCAAAGCTCAATCCAATTAAGTCTATAGCATCTACCAATTTAGGCATTAGCCCCCTTTTTTGGATGAAAATCTCATTGTGATCTCGTTCCTTTCACACCCTTCCACTAAAACGGGAAGGAATACATGTAGAGTAAGTGCTCCATTCAACTATCAGGATGGTCATCCAAAATTCTCTACAGTTCGCCTTCCGTACCAAAATGCATTATTGTCTATTTGGGACCGGTTGGGATGGCCCGATCTAGTTTTGGGAAATTTCAAGGTGACTAGCATGGACCAAACCATGAAAACTGATTCCTCGAACCGGATACAATATTTTTTATAACATGCGGTAGCCTTCGATTGGTCAACAGAGTTGTCGTGATAGGGCTATTTTTTCTCTCATGTCGACATTTTTCTACTTATCAATGATAATATTACAAGACTAATAATTATTCAATATTAAAAATGGTTAATGCGCAATGTTTTAAAAAAGCATTTAAGTGGCGTTTGTTTTCTAAGAGGTGCTAAAGTCTGAAGTTTGATTTCACTTCTGATTTTTAAGAGGTGGTGCTGAAGTCTGAAATTTGAATCAGTCAAACTGTTTGTTTTTACGTCTGAAATCTGGAATATGAATCAGTCAGACTGTTTGTTTTTATGTATGAAGTCTGAAATTTGAATCAATTCATTTCAATTAAATTCAACTGAAATATCCAATCTGTTGGTCCCGGTTGGGTCTTAAGAGTTTTATAGAAATAGTTTGTAGAAGGAGGGATGAATACAAACACAGAAAACTTTTAAATTTAAATATATATATATATATATATATATATATATTGATAAAGAAAGATCAATACAGATTTTTACAAGATTGTATACAGAAATAGACAAGGTAAAGATAACCTATCTAAAACCATATAAGTTTACACAGAGATGATCTTAGCAAAGAGAAAAGATTTGATGTAAGATAAAGAAGGAAATGAGGTATTCCTGGGTAAGAACTTTTTAGAATACTTGAAAGGGATTCTAACTTGCTTGAAGATAAGCGTAAGTGTTCTCTAGATGTGTGTGTGCTTTCACGTAGTTGGTAGTCTGCATGGAGAGAATACTTATCTATTTATACCCATGGCACTAAATGCACATTTAATGCAATGCAGTTGGGTTTGAACACGCGTCAAGCATTTAAAGAAAAGTTTGTCCTTTGCTACAGTGAATAGTACAAATGGATATTCATGAGCAGACATCTTTTCATAGAGTTGGTGGGTAATAGAGTTAACTAGTCGCCTCCGTACCGTACTATACTCCAGAAAGGGTATGAGTTTGTCCTTTGTGTGTGGAAGGACAAGACAAAAACAATCTTGCACAACAAGCTTCATTTGATCGCTGAATGTTGGAATAACACTGAAGGTCTCTTCAGCATTCGTTGAGGCTTATGCATTCTTCACACATATGTTGACCAGGTTATAATCAGTGAATGCCGCTTCAGATCACGAACTCGTTGGTCTCTAATCTTCAGTTTCAGTCTTCGACTTTTGCTGAAGGTTCTTTGGTGTGAGTTTTGTCCTTTTGAAGTAATGTTGCCGCTGTAGGATTTACAATACATGTTTCAGCGATCACCAAACAGACTCAGTGATGATCGCTGGCACTGAAACATAGAAACATATTACTTCATAAAAGGTAAAAGTGATTATCATCAAATCAATGAGAGAGAAGATCAACAATCTCCCCGTATTTGATGATAACAAAGCAACATAAAGAGAGTTGCCTTATCAGATAATAGTAGGGAAAAGTTACATATAAAGTACATGTCCCTTTTTACTATTTTGGGATCTTTTTCAGTGAGTCAGTTTTTACTTATTAAGTTTTCTTAAGTTACTTGGGCTCAACTAAAGAAATAAAGTTGACAAAGAGACAAATATTAGTTAGACCACGATGAGTATGAATACCTGCACCATGATCTCCAAGAATTTGACGAATATGATGGTCTTTAGTCCATCGCTGAGCTGGTAGAGGATTATCATCCGAGCATAGATGTTCATGAACAGAAGATGAGGCTTCAGCTGCAGATTCTTCAACGATTGGAACAATTACTAAAGGAGCCTCAAATTCAGCAACTGATATAGGTTCTGATGCTGAAGGCATTTCATTCACTGATTAATCAGTGTTTGATGTAGAAGGTAGAACACAACTAATGGGCACAACAACAAACTCTGGAGAAGACACGATGTGATTTGCTGCAACTGGAATGATTAATCGATCATCTTCAGCTTCTGGGGATTTAGTGTTTAGAGGAACGCTGAAGGAAGCTTCGGGTTGTCGATAATGAGAAAACATCCAGTTTTCTAATTCTTTATCATCATTTATGACGGGTTTAGAATTAGCTGATTGAGATTCATCAAATGTGACATGAATAGTTTCTTCTATCGTCTGTCGGTGTTTGTTGAATACTCTGAAGGCTTTGGACACTGAATAATATCCAAGAAAGATTCCTTCATCAGCTTTGGGATCGAACTTTCCTAGTTGATCACGGTTGTTGAGAATATAACACGTGCAACCAAAGATATGTAGAAAGCTGATAGAGGGCTTGCTGCCATGGAAAAGTTCGTAAGCTGTCTTCTTGAACCTCTTAACGATCAAAGACTGATTTTGAGTGAAACAAGCGGTGCTTCAGCCCAGAAATTAGTAGGGAGATGGGACTCGCTGAGCATTGATCGAGCAGCCTCAATGATTGTTTAATTTCTCCTTTCAGCGACCCATTTTGCTGATGAGTTCTCACTGATGAAAAATTGTGAGAAATTCCCTTGTCCTCAAAGAAGTTAACTGTTTTTGAACTCAGTACCATGGTTACTTCTAATAGATCGTACTTTAATATTGTTAAGTACTTCTATCTTCTTGATGAACGATATGATGTCTTCAGGTACTTCACTTTTGGATCTGAGAAAGAAGATCCAATTGTACCTGGAGTACTTATCAACAATGACGAGTGCATACTTCTTTCCAGCGATAGATTGCATGTTCACTGGACCAAAGAGATCCATGTACAGTAGCTGAAGAGGTGATGTCACTAAAGAGATTTGCTTTGACTTAAAGCTAACTGTTGTCTGTTTTCCTTTCTCACACGCTAAGCAAAGAGATTCTTTTGCAAAGGAGTGTCGAGGAAGACCAGTGACAAGATCATTTCTAGAAAACTCGCTGAGTGTCTTGAAGTTAAGGTGACGAAGCCGTTTGTGCCACAACCAGTTCATATCTGACAAAGCTTTGGAGAGGAAACAACTATTCTCAGTGAGAGAAGAATCCATGTTGATGATGTAGACATTCTCTAGACGAGAACTGGTTAAGGCAACCTTATCATCCTTGTCAAAGGCATAGCATGAATTCTTGGAGAACTTCACCGTGTAATCTTTGTCACACAGCTGACTGATGCTGAGGAGGTTGTGCTTCAGTCCTTCAACGTATGCAACACGCCTGAATGTGGTTAAACTGTTGCTTAATATACCAAAACCTCTGGTATATCTTTTTCCGTTACCTCCAAAGGTCACGGAAGGGCCTCTCTCTTCCTTGTAGTCGATAAGCAAGGATTTGTCTCCGGTCATGTGTCTTGAGCATCCACTATCGAGATACCAAATGCCTTCCTGTACAAGGGAACAATTTAAAATGCTTTTGGTACCCATTATATTTGGGTCCAGCAATGTTAGAGG